GTGCTCTTACCATGAAATCCCATGGAACCCTATACTTCTCCATCACATTGATTTATAATTGCTTGTTTACCTGTCTCCTCCATTAAACTAAGATCTCCATGACAGTTGGACTATGTCTGTTTGGTTCATGATTGTGTCTCCCTCTTTGCATGCTTAGCCCATTCGAAGTACTTAAGATACATATGTTGAATGAGTAAGTAAATCAGTTAATAAAAATCTATTTATATTCTTTGGTATAGTTATTTTCTTTCCCTATGCCATTCCTTTTTCCATTATTATTATTTTGAATCTAATAATAGTTGATTTGGGTTTCTTAACCTGAGTGCCTTACCTCAGGCTGCCATAACAAAATACCACAGACTTGGTGGCTTAAACAATAATAATTTGTGTTCCCACAGTTTTGGAGGCTGGAACTCTGAAATTAGGGTATCAGCATGGTTGAGATCTGGTGAGGGCCCTCTTCCTGGATTGCAGATGGCCACCTTCTTCTTGTGTCCTCACATGGCAGAGGAGGGGGGGTGGAGAGAAAGAGCAAGCTCTCTGGTGTCTGTTTTTGAAAGGGCACTAATCCCACCATGAAGCTCCACTCTCAGGACCTCATCTAACCCTAAATACCTCCCAAAGGCCCCACCTTTAAATACCATCACATTGGTTGTTAGGGCTTCAACATATGAATTTAGGGAGGGACACAAACCTTCAGTCCATAACACTGAGACAAGGTGAAAATTTAACATGAGTTCCCTGTTTCTTATTCTGATTTCCTCTAGATCTCTTATGAATCTACTGGCAGTTGATGGCCTGCATGATGTAGTAGAATCAGACGACCAAGTTTAGAGCCCAGCTTCCACATTTATGAATTATAAGACCTTGACCAAGTCACATCATCTCTTGTTTCTTGTTTAGACTCCATAGATGGCATCTAAGGTGACCAGGACACACTTGTTAACTGCATACACAGGCTCTGTGGGCACTTTAATAATTTCTCATATCTACGTGATAAGACCTCTCATTCACTATCTCATGTACTCCTTCCAAGAACCGTAAGAAGTCATATTATCCTTCCAGTGCAGAGATGAGGATGCTGAGACTCTGGGAGTCTCTGGTCAGTCTCTTTGTCCTGATCCTGGAACATCCTCCCTATGAGCTTGTTTTGTGGTCTCTTTCACTTCCTTACCCGTCTTATCTTGAGGATTTATTACCTGGGCAGGCATCTACTGGTCTGCAGGCTTTGGCTTGAATCCTTATACTGTGGTGTTGTAGTCTGAATGGTTTTGCCCTCCCCTCCCAAAATTCACATGTTGGAATCCTAACACCCAAAGTGATGATGTTAGGAGGTGAGGCCTTTGGGAGATGATTGGGTCATGAGAGTGGAGCCCTTAGAAATGGGATTAGGCCCGGCGGGGCGTGGCTCAGCGGTTGAGCATCGACCTAGGATCCAGGCAATCAGGGTTCGATTCCTGGTCAGGGCACATGCCCAGGTTGCGGGCTCGACCAATGACTCTCTCATCATTGATGTTTCTATCTCTCTCTCTCCCTCTCCTTTCCTCTCTCTGAAATCAATAAAGATATATTAAAAAAAAAAAAGAAAAAAAAAGAAATGGAATTAGTACCCATATAAAAGAGACTCCTGATAGCTCTTTACTTCCTTCTGCCTTGTGAGGATACCAGAAGTCAGTGACCCGGAAGAAGTCAATGACCCACCTGACCATGGTGGCATCCACATCTTGAACGTCCAGCCTCCAGAACTGTGAGAAATAAATGTTTGTTGTTTATAAGCCACCCAGTCTGTGCTATCTTGTTATAGCAGCTGGAATGAACTAAGACCTCTTGGCCACCTGACAAAACACCCACGACTATGCATTGCTGTGATTACCTCATGCCTCACAATTAAAAACCTTAAAAAGCTGTAAGTTTTAAAAAATTTTTATTTTTCCACTACAGTTTACATTCAATATTATTTTGTATTAATTTGATGTGTACAGCATAGTGGTTAGACAAATAAGGCAGAAGTTCTTTAGTGTTGGACTTTTGTAGGGTGAACATGTCATACTTTTCTTCCCTTCCTTTCCAACTGACTGAGAGTAGATAAAGGAGACAGACAGATGAAGATTTTTTATTTATTGAAGAAACACGCATGTGGTACTTACTGGGTGCCAGCCAGCAACTTGCTCAAGGTCATGCAGCTAGTAGGTGGCAGAGCCAGGCTTCCAAACCAGCTCCAGAAATTTCTTGTTATTCTGCTTCTCAAAATGTAACCTTTATTCATGATAAAACTAGACCAAAGGACATGGTTTAGGTCTGTGTCCAAAAGGGCCGGCGAGTTAACTTTTCATCCATGAATGAGACAGACTCTCCCAGCTAGTTGGGGCCACCACAGGTGTTCTCCACAGGGGCAGAGCTGGCTGTGCTCCTCCTGCAAGGTGGAGAGAGCACAGCAGAAAACACCCTTCCTGTAAGCAGACAGATCCAAAAAGAGAGGCTAAGGAGTGAAATCAGTCTCTCCTCCCTGATTCACCAATTGGCTAAGTCATTTTCCTCCTCTGGGGAGGAGTGAGTGACAGATGGGGAGAGTGGCCAGTGCTCATCTAGCAAAGGTCTCACCAGATGGAATAAGTGTTCCCTTGAACCTTACGGAGGCTGAGAGCCAAAGGCCTCACCATCCTTGAAGTGAGCAACTCTGTTGGTGATGGAGTCAAGGGCTTGGATATTTTAAGGTTCCTCTTTCTGTTTTTTTCAGGATTAGGATTCTGAGGCCTGGCTGTGACTCATGATCCCTGTGGATGGGCAAGGGGACAATTGGGCTGTATAACTGGAAGCGCAGTTCTTGAAAAACTAGAGGACTTCTGCTGCATCAGCTGGCAACTCTCCTCAGGCTTAGTGACAGGTTATGATTACTAAGAGACTGACTTCCTTCCTTTTCCTAACAGAGCCAAGTAGGCAGGTACCTGAGACCTGTGAGTTCCTATGTGCACCACAGTGTCTCTCAGTAAAATGTGGCACCTACATGGTTAGGGCAAAGAACACCAGATACAGGGTCAGGTGCCCTGGTTCCTTGCCTGACTTTCCCGTTGGGAAAGTCCTTCAGCTTCCCCATGCCTTCATTTACTCATCTGTAAAATGGGAGTAATATTACCTATCTTAAAGGGCTATGTGAGGATCAAGATGATGGATGAGAAGGTGCTTTATAAACATCAAAGCTGGATATATTTAAGCTGCTTTATTACATTTTCCATGGATCTCTTCTGTGAATTTCCCTTCTTTCCCACATTAAAATTTTTTATTTATTTATTGATTCAAGAGAGAGAGAGAGAGAGAGAAACATTGACTTGTTCCATTTATTTATGCATTCATTGGTTAATTCTTGTATGTGCCCTGACCTGGGATTGAACCTGAAACCTTGGTTCATTGGGACAATGCTCTAACCAACTGAGCTACTTGGCCAGGGCTTTCCCACATCCTTTACATAGCAGATACACGTTGATTTTGCCTATCTAGCATCCATTCTTTCTCCTTCTGCAATAGCGCCCTGATCCTCTTTTGGGAATCTCTCTGGCCATGTGGATTGTTTGGAACTGACCCTATCCCATAGCTTCAGGAGCAAATCCATGATCCAGGTCTCACCAAGACATTCTATTCCCCTGGTCACAGTGATTGGTTCAGGGATAGCTGTTCACTCTAGCCTGGGCCAGTTGACCATTCCTGGGACGTTTTCTGGAATTACTGGGAAAGACTCTGCTTTCCTTGCTGGAATTGCCAAGCTGGGGGAATGCAAGCCTGGAGCTGTTGGGGGCCACATTTGCCATCTTACAGGAAGAGCCTGCCACCATACAGGAAAGCAGAACGGAGAGCTGGAGGAAGACACATAGTATCCTGTCGACATGGTTAGAGTCCCTCGATTCAGCCATGCCTGATTCATGTTCATTAGGAATGAGTTTGATTAACATTTCATATGTATTTCCCTTTCTTTGAAGTGTTATTCATATTATTTACTAATTTTTCTACTGGGCTGTTGTTCTTATAGATTTGAAGGAACATTTTTTAATATTTAATTTTTATTGAGGTAAAAGTTATGTAACATAAAATTAACCATTCACAATTAGCAATTTGTTAACAATTCAGTGGCATTTAGTACATTCACAATGTTGTACAACCATCACCTCTATCTAGTTCCAGAACATCATCATCACCAAAGAGACCCCATATCCATTAAGCAGTCACTCCCCATTCCCCACCTCTTCCATTCTTCTGCTCTCTGTCTCTATGGGATTATCTATTCTGAATGTTTTAAATAATTGGACTCAAACAATATGTGACATTTTATGCCTGTCTTCTTTCACTTAGCATAATGTTTTCAAGGTTCATCCATGTTGTAGCATCATCAGCCTTCATTCTTTTTTTATGGCTGAATAATATTCCATTGTATGGATTAAACCATTTTTAAAAATCTATTCATTTGTTGATGGACATTTGGGTTGTTTCTACTTTTTTGGCTATCATGAACAGTTCTGCTATGAACATTCATGTACAAATATTTGTTTGACTTGTATATCAGGGAAATTAGTATGTCTTTGTATATCAGAGAAATTAGTCCTTGGCCTATGAAAAGTGTTGCAAATATTATATTTCAGTTTGCCATTTGTCTTTGACTTGGCTTATGGTGGCTTTTGCCAGGCAGAGTTCTGAAAAAATTGTTATGTAATTGAATCTGTCAGGTGGGTTTTGTGACACAGTTAGGAAGGTCATCCTTATACTTGAGGTTATAAAATAATTCTCCCATCAAAGCTTCCATTTATCCACTCATTTCCTTATCAGTCAGACAGGGATTAAAAACAGCCCCACTTGTCCCCCAGGGTTACTGTGAGTATCAAATAAGAGAAATGATATGAAAGGGCTTTTAAAATAGCAATATATACAAAAAAGCATGTTGTAATCATCATTATTAATTGGATCAAATTCTGGCACTAACTAGCTGAGTTCTGTTTTTTTCTTTCATTTTGTAGAGCAGAGATTGAAGGACAGGATTATTCACTGAGCCGGCCAAGGATACTTCAGTTGGTAGCAACATGGAGAATGTCACAAAAGATGTCAACTCTTATTAGTCATCTTAGGAGGGTTTCATATTTGACCAGAAAAATAAAATTGCCTTAAACCAAAAACTATTCTGGTCCTCTTCCTTCAAATAGTCTTTTTTTTTTTTTTTTTTTTTTCCCAA